AAGATGCTTAAAGTAGGTGAATGATGGATGTGCATCTACACATCTCCACATGTGGGTAACTTTCAGTTCAGTGCTTCGGGTTTGGACATCAGTGCAGCTGTACAAGTATGAAGGTCAATGTGGGTGGGTTGTGCCTGTGACAGTGGGCCAATGCTGCTATAAATGAAACAGGCTAGGGACAGGTTCCAAAACTGGAAAACCTGTCTACAGAATCATATGGATACCAAAAGTTCTCATGGTCTCTGACAATTACTACCTAGAATAATGAAAATGAACTATTATAAATAGAAGATACCATTTTTCAACGGGGAAGACATGAACTACAATTTTCAGGAAACTGAGAGGATGTTCAACAGAAATAGCTTTCTGCACAGGTCCCTTTTCCTATTCTGTTATTAGACATTACTAGAAACAGGATAATACATCAGTCAGACCTATGGTCTAACCCATAACTATCTGCCTTATGGTCTTATATAAATGCTATAAACTGACATCCAAATGTCCATAGCTCGACTGTTGTTACTGATCCTTAAATGACATGATTCATAGGTAATGTCTTTCTTCTTTTCAAGGGCTTTTCTCTTTTCCATGAAATAGTTAAACTTTCAATGAAGATTTGCTTAAAATTCTGGTTGTGAGTTCATCTGGAAGAAGAGAGGAGAAGGTTATAGAATCTGCTCTAAAGAAAATAAGTGCTCAGCAGTCGTTGAAGTGGTCTACAGTCAGATCCCTGTAAGTGTTCTCACCGCTGTGAAATGCCCTAGCCCTTACCCAAAGCATATGCTTCTTGTCAGACTGGTCGAAGCACTCTCCTGGAAGTCTAACCAGCTGATGAGAGCACATTTTTGTGACTTAGGTATTCCAGAGCCTGAGTTAGAGAGCAGAATGCTGAACTGCTGGAGAAAAGGCATGGCATCAACATTTCAAGCAAGAGGTTTTGTGACAACAGGGTGTTGTTGACACCTAAGTCAGAGAGTCAGTTGTGAGTCACATTCATATGACCACATATGTCCCTGCCATGTAACAGGGTGGGTCCTGTCCCGCCCCTCCACAGGGAATACGATGACTGTAAGGAAGCTGATCAGAACAGTTTGTTGTTCTCAACTTGTTTTCAAGACAGGAGGTGAATGGAAGCAGTCAGCTCTCCAGGTGAATTATTGTGGCAGGCAAATCCAGTTTAGTCTTAGGTGAATCACCACAAACTTCGTTTGTTGCGTATCACTGTCCCTTTACAGACAGAAGCTGTTTTATGTCTGATTCTAAAATAGTAGGTACAGCTCTGGGCACTGTTAAGACACAGATGACTAAACCTGCCCTGGAACATCACTGCGTTCTGCAGCAGCCATGGTAAGGCGATGCTGTGAACTCCAATCCTATTTGTGGAATTAACTATGTACAGGAGGAGTTCCAAGATCAACAAAGCCATCTGAAATAGGGCTAAATGCAGAATCAAAGATAAAGCCAATCTGTATTTTTTTTTTTTTTAAACTGTGTTCGAAACATGTATTTGGTCATATGAATATGAGTCATGAGTCTGACTCCTCTCCCTGGAATGCTTGAATGCCTGGACAGCGAGTTTTCAAGTGTAGTGCTACAGAATATCTGGCTTAGGAGGTTCCTACGCTGCAGTTTGGTGGATGATGGGAGAGTTTCCAGGGGAAGCACTGCTGTACATTATACTGCTGTTTCACTCCACCCCATGTATTCTCTAAGTTGCTTTCGGAAACATTGCTGACTAGACTACATTTTGTTCTGAGCGCATGTATCTGTTCTTATGTCTTGGCTGTTCAAAGCACTGAAAATGGTCCTTTCTCATAAAAAGCTATAGCATTTACACATGTTAAGAAATGTATCTTTTCCATACAGGCTCAGAACATTTCCTCTTCAACAACAGAAGTAATTTCTGCTAAATAATTAGATTACAAAAGTCATTTAAATATCCAGTGTTGTGTGCGGCTTCTTTTTAGACTCTTTCTGTGCTGATTCTTGGCCTCAGGAGATCTGTTTCTGCTGAGTCTTGCAAACAGGTAAAGCCAATCAGCTATTCACGTGATCCCAGCCTGTCATGACTGAAAAGCTCTTCCATTCCAGCTCTGTTATTTTGAGCTCTGCAGGATCTTTTCAGCAAAGACAGCAGGAGCAATTAAGCTCTTTTCCATAGGCTGGAGAGATCGTCAGATGCTGTTTTAAAGAAACAAAATATTGACCATTTCTACTGCTGTCAGGTGCAAGTATTCTTTCAGTTAGTGCCATGATGTTGTAAGGTCCTTCTTGAGGGAATATGCCTATCTTGTTTTTGTGGCATCATTTTAAGCTCCAGATGCAATCTGCAAAATCAAGCCAAATAGGAATTAATTTATCTCTGGATGACCATAATTGAGGCTTTTTGCAGTATCATATGAAGTTGGCTTTTTCCCATTCACCAGGAGCATTTCAATTTGATAGAAAGTTAGAAATCTAAACTTGAGGTCTTCACACTTCAGCTTTTGGTGGCAGACAGAGAAAAAGGCCCTCTTGAGGTGAGATTCATCCTATCCTAATGCAGAATGTGTTCACGTGACACTCATTCTAAAACTGTTTTTTCACCACTAATTGGGAAACTGCCCCAGATCAGATGACAGAGTATAACAGTTGTGATGGCTCAGGACATAAAATCCCTACAATGTCACAGCCAGAAGTATTGATCACTCCTGCGCAGCACTGGCTGGAGAGCACCTGCATCCTGATAAGGTGCTTTAACAGAGCTGGAACAGATGGTAGAAAACAAGACTGAATCTAAAAGCTGATCACTGCTTTTGCTGCTGCATACCTTTGGAAATGGCTCCTTTATCTTCCATCACTAACTCTGGATCTGATGTGTTATATGAAAATACTTTCTATGCCCATAACTTCTTTTCCCTACAAGGATGACAAGAATATCCCCAATAAAGACAACACACAATGCAAAAGCAAACATCTAAGCCTTCAATAAAAGCTGCTCTCTTTCCAAGAAGTAAAGGCATTCTTCACGATCAGATGAAGGACCAGACATATCTAAAGAGAAAATAGCTGTGTAATTATCTGCAAGTTGAAATGATTGCTTGTGGAACCTGTTCAGAGAGGTACACTTCCACTGACTGATAGGCATCCTCTGTAGTGAACAGAGCCCTTCTGTTTACAGTGAAGTTGTATTGATAGATTCAGGAAAAAAAAAGTAAGTATGATCTTAATGTTTACATTGGGTCTTGTCTGCTACTACATGTGAAGTCCTGAAAAACCAAACTGTTTCAGGAAATGGACAAACCCAGGACTAAAAACCTACTGAAAGCTTTTTCGCTGATAAAGTTTAGTGATGGAACATATGCCCCTAGAAAAAGAGAAAGAAGAACAAGCTGGAAAAGCACAAAAATAGCGGAGGAAAAAGTATCAGAAACTAAGAAAAGAGAAAGAATGGCATTGTTAGAGAATTCTGCTGATAGATGTACATGGATATATGCCATGATACCAAGTCAATTGCTTTTTGCCAGACAAGGCACAGCTGGTGTGCTAAGAACAAATAATGGACCATAGTTCAATCATTATGAGAGAAAATGCTTTTCAAAGATGATTTTAAGCAATTTACCACAAACTCAGACAATCCAAAATAGAATTGTGGATTGTAGTCCCAAAGTAGCTGAAAGAATAAGAGCTCTGCTCTGATGGCTGCTTATCCCCACTAATTGAAGGATGCCTCTGTTGAAGGTCACCTTCTGAAATGCTTCCTGATTGCTCACTTCACAGATAAGGTACCACCATTTCTTAAAACTCCGAAGAAAAGAGAGAAGGAAAAATTGCCACATGAATTAAAGCCTGTGTAGCCCCAGACAAGGAGACATGCATGTGATGGTCCGTGATTGGCACAGGAGGCAGTCTGTTCTGAATGTGCTCCTCATTCCTACGCATTGCAAAGCATGAACCAACCGAAAGAATAAATACAAGGCTACTCCTTGAAAAAGGATGGAAGAGAAAAGAATTTGAATCACAGGAACAGGGAAGACCATACAGGATACAACAGCCAGATAGGATTGATAAAAAGGACAGAGCCCATAGAAAATATGCCATAAATTTTGCACACCCCTAGATGAAGCATACCTGTGTCCTCTCCACTGGAACAGAACCTGACCCGCGAGCCTGCAAGTGCAGAGCCCCACCAGCACCGGCACCTTGAGCTGCCGTGGGACACGGCTGTATGGGAATGTAGCACACAGCTGCATGTGCAGAATGGGCGCTTACAGCCAAAGTCAGACTCACAGTGGTGTCACAGCAGTGTGACACAAATGAAGGTGTCACACACTGAGGTGTCTCACGTGTGACTCGCACACACTGAGTGCATGAGGAATAAGCGGGGTGCTGAGTGCCACAGACACACACGTGGGATGTGTCACTGTTGAAAGATGAACGGGCTTGTGGTTTGTTATATTGATCCCAATCCCTGTGAATTAAGACTCTGAACAGAGTTACAATGTTGACTGAGCAGAGGTGTGCCTGTATTCAAAGATGGGCGAGAGATACCCGTAACGCTGACCTGTGTGACACATACTCGTGTCGCTCACACAGGTATGTCGCACTCACCCGTACTTCACGCTGACCCGTAAATCACTCACTGCTGTACGCCACGCACACACCTGTACATCACACAGCCTCGGATGTGTCCTGCGGTCGGGCAGAACGCCGTCCCACACAGACGCACCTCACAAGCGCACGGATGGCGTCACGTGTGTCACACACATCTCCCAGACAAGCGGTGCCTCACGGCCATGTCACGGCTTCTCTCAAAAGCGCGCACTCGGCGTCACCGCGGACACGCGCGCTGCTCCTGACGGCCGCACACCCGCGGTCCCGGGCCCCTCTCCCCTCCTCTTCGCCGCCGTGGGGCTCCGTGCCCGCCCCGCCCCTTTCCCTCCGCGCTTAGCGTGCGCCGCGCCCCCGCAGCGGGCGGAGCGGGGCGGGGCGGGGCGGGGCGGGCGGGTCCGGCCCTCCCGCAGCCCTCGCTCCGCGGGCGGGCGGCGGCGCCCCGGCGGGCGCTGAGCGGGGGCAGCGCTGCTGTTGGGAGCATGTCGGGATCGCGCTGCCAGACGCTGTACCCCTTCTCCGGGGAGCGGCACCGCCAAGGGCTCCGCTTCGCCGCGGGGGAGCTGATCACGGTGCTGCAGGTGCCGGACGGCGGCTGGTGGGAAGGGCAGAAGGAGGACGGGCTGCGCGGCTGGTTCCCGGCCAGCTACGTGCAGCTCCTGGAGGTAGGAGCGGGGCCGAGTGGCGGCGGGGCCGCGCGGGTGGCTGCGGCGGCCGGGCCGGGCCGGGGCACGGAGAGCTCCGCAGCATTTCGTCCCGGAGTCGCTCCCACTCTCACGGGACGCCCCGTGCCCAGAGCGTGCAGCGCCCCGGGGCGATCGGTGCTGCTGAGCTCTGCTTCGGAACGCGGGCTGCTCCGGACGCTTGTTTTTTCGCTGTTGCTCAAAGGCAGCAGTCGGCGGAGGAGACGATGCAGCTCCTGGCGGCCATGCGTGTCGGCTGGGCGAATGCCTCCGCTCCTCTCCTCCTTCTTTCATTAAGCATCTTTTTTGAGTTGATGCTCTAGAAGAGGTAACCCAGATATGTCCCTTCTGCTGCAGCAGCTTCCAGCTGGCAGGGCACCCTACCAGAGCATGTGGTCTTGCCCAGAGCACCTTAGGGACCCAAATACTGTGACCTCACCGCCAGGATGCCAGGAGGTGCTGTACCTGCAGTTGTCCTCACAGCCCTGCAGCTGCGAGCTCGGGCAGCAGTTCCATTCCTGCAGTACTGCTTGCTCCCCAACTGGCTTGTTACGTTCTTTTCCGTGCAAGGAAGACACCGTCCAAGTGTAAAATTCATGTCTGCCTTCGCAGTCTTCGCATTTGTGAAAGTGAAATCTGCAACATCCCTTAGCACTGCCAGAATCTGCCATGAGCCCATCAGCCCTCCTATCATTGTCAGTCAGTCAGGCCATGGACGTGGTGCTGCAGCAAAGCAGTCAACAGCGCAGTGCTTCTCAGTCACCTCTGCCTGCCAGGTTTCTGCTGGGATGCATTCCCTGCTGGGCTGCATGTGCCCAGGCTTTCCCGTCTGGGACATGGGGAGGGCAGGGTGCACAGCATTGACCAGAGCCGGACCGCCAGGTGCCTGCAGAGCAGAGCTCTGGGAGCAGGACATTTGCCTGTAGATCTGCAATCACCCTTCCGTTTTGCCAGTCCAAATGAATAAAAAGATCTGTGATGTTTCCATGGAGTTGCTGTTGCTCATTCTTAGCTGTTGTAAGAAAGCGGAGGCAGAATTTCCCCACTCAGCATTACAGGAGTGAGGCCGAGGACTTCTCTCTGCCTCTGAAGCACTTGAGAATTTTGCGCTATAGTTTAGGAGTGTGGGAGTCCGTTTGTTTGTCAGGTTTGCCACCTACAAGATCATTGACTGAGATATGTGAATGTTTGTGGTCTCGCACATTGCCAAACATTTACACATCTAATCAGGAATTTAGAAATTATTGGAGACAGAGTGGATCATGCAGTGAGACAAACCTTGCTCAGTGGAAAGTCAACACGATGACTTTGTTTTATATCATCTCCCTCTTGGAAACTCCTTCCTTTCTGCAGGGGTCTGAGTGTGTCACACTGTGCTCGGTGTAGCTGACCTGACTGAAGGCACCACAGCAACCCCATGTCTTCCATTCTTTATCCTGCGCACAGACACTGGGGCTGGTACTAGGGAGGTAAGAACATGTAGAGGATGGGGTCATGAGCACGATCCTCTGATCAGCACTCATGCTGGCTTTGGGTGCCCCATCGCCATAGCTTCTGGTTCAGTACTATGTTGGGAGCAAAATTTACTCTCATGGAGGATTTGATCTCCTATGGCTGCCTTAATAAAGGCAGTGCTCATTCCAGCAGGTACTGCAGCCCACAGCTCTTTGCTCTGAAGGACAGCTGGCTACGTGCTCTGCTGCTGCAGGAGGGAGCAGGTCGTGATCCTCATGCTTGTATCCTTGCTCACACTGGCTGATAGCACTTGGCTCTTGCAAAGAAAAGTAGGTGTTTGTGCCTTTTGGCTCACTAGGGCTGGTTTGAATGGCACAGGGAGGTAAGGAGGTTTGGCAACCTCTGGTTCCTGCTTCTTGCTGTCGTTAGTTGAAAGGAAGGATGATGGCTGGGAGGTCCCTGTCATGGCAACGATGTAAGTAGTGAGAGCTGGAGAAGCAATGTGGTGTCTGGGGAGGAGAGCTTGGAAATAAAGAAGTCTCTGTGAGCTCAGGAGAGGACACAGGTGTCACAGAGCAAAAGCAAGCACTTGGAAGGCATGTCCTACAAGGAGAGGTTGAGAACACTTGAGTTGGCTGGTTTGGAGGGATAGAGGCTCAGAGGTGACTTCACTGCTCCTGGCAGCTCCCTGAGGAGGGGCAGCAGAGGGAGGTGCTGGTACTTTGCTCCCTGGTCACTGATGACAGGACGTGTGGGAATAGCACAAAGCTGCACTGGGGCAGGGTCAGACTGGACATGAGCTAAAAGCTCACTATGAGGGTGGTCAAAGACTGGAACAGGTTCTGAGTGAGGTGGCTGACTTCCCTTGCCTGTTAGGGTTCTGGGGCATATGGACAATGCCCTCAGTAATATGCTTTAACTTCTGGTACTCCAGAAATGATCAGGCATTCGGATCTGATAATCTTCATAGGTCCAATCTGACGGAACTCAGGAGGTTCTAGCTGTATGATGGGGTTGCCTGGACCACAGTCAGTCAAGAGAAATTTATACTTAATGTATGTAAGTAACAAAACTTATTTTTTAACTTTTTTTTTTTTTTTTTTTAATTAAAACATAAAAAGAGAGAGTGAAAAAAGCATAAAGCGAGTGGGAAATTTGAGCTTGTTTTCATGAAATGAATGCATCAGTCTGGTTTGATGGAAGTGGCTGCAATTCTCAGTGAGCTCTTGAGACGTTCAGTAAAGATTTTGGATGAAATTTTACAATTCCTATGCTTCATCCTTGAAAACAGCTGTTCACAAAAAGCGATGACATGAAGCAGTTGTGACTGTGAAGTGAGGGATATCCTTCTCTGGTAAGGGAGGGCTTGATCAAATTTTTCTTCAAAATGAACATCTGACTGCAACTCTATACATTCCATTCAAAAATTCGCAGGTAGTGTATTTATGTTCCCTGAAAATAGAATTGCAAATGTACCCAAAAAATTGATTTTTTTTGGCAATATGAAAGCCTGTTCTCAAATTTCTTTATCAAAACGGAAAACAAGGCTGCGCTTTTTTTGCTGTTCACAGGACTGTGTTTAGCCTATATATCAAAATGCATGAAAGTTTTTTACAACAAGGGGGTGAGGCACTGGCACAGGTTGCCCAAAGATGTGGTGGATGCCCAGTCCTTGGAGACATTCAAGGTCAGGCTGGACCAGGCTCTGAGCACCTGATCTAGCTGTAGGTGTCTCTGTTCATTGCAGGAGTGTTGGATAAGATGACACCTAAAGTCCCTTCCAGCTCTAAGGATTCTGTAGTTTTCTACAATTCTACAGAAGTGATGATATGAATGAGGTGTGACTGTGAAGTAAGAGATATCTTTCTCTGGGAAGACAGATAAAGTCCAATAAGAGTCATGACCAAATCCGATATGAAAGCTAGGCTTCATATTTTTTGCTGTTCATAGGACTGTGGAGTCATTAGCCAATGTATGAAAATGTACGAAATGATTTTTCATAACTTCAGCTTGCCATAATTTTTCATTTTGAACATTGTCATGGTTAGAAATGTAGCACAGATAAGTTGATTTCCGCCACAAAGACACATGTTTGACTCATTTAAATGAGTAGTCAGATCCACCAGAAAGCTGAACCTGTGAGCTGTTCTTCATCTTCAAGTTCTGGCACAAGTTTTCCTTCGGATTCCATGGATGATTTGGTTTCATTTCACAAACGATAAAATCCTGTTGGCATTTTACCTCTTTCCTTCAGAGAGGAAATGATGATCCCACAATGAGCATCCGCACTTCTAAGGAACTCCTGGGATTAGTAATTATTCAGTCCCCTGAACTTCGTGAAATTCACAGCTCTCATGATAATGTAAAGTGTACGACACGTGGGTCTCAGTCACACCATGTTTGTGTGGCAGGCCCCAGAGGTGGGTCAGCCCTGCACCTTGCCCTCACCTGCACAGAGTTCCACTGTCACCTACAGTCTGTACTTGAGCTACGTGCAACCAACTCATGACAAATATTGCTAAAAATCACACGATAATGATAAAAGTTTATGGCCTTCCAAGGCTGCATTACCAGCTGCCCAGAGCTGCATGCAGTCTGCGGTGGCTTATGCTTGGTTTAGGGATGGTCACATACTTCTGGCTTCCTCCTTCACATGCACTTGTTTTTTGGTCTGAGATTTTTTTGGCCACTTGAGCAGAACCAAAGACTCTGCAGTCTAAGGCTTGTCCTTCCCAGTCTGGTGCAAAGAGGAATCTGTGGGTGATAAGCAATGCTTCGTTACAGTGAGCACACAGGCAGAGCAGGTGGAATGAGGTGTGTGATACAGTGAGTGAGGATTTCTTAACAGCTGTAGGCAACAACTTGTTACTTACCCAGAGGCTCTGCATCTCACCTGCAGCAGAGATGCTTGGGATAATGTGCGCAGACAGGTTTCTGTGCAGCGCCAGACCCAGGAGCATTCCTGGAGAAGTTTTGGGTGTATTCCAGTTTGCCACAACAATACCCATTGCAGAACAGTGGCAAGATGGGGTAGGGGGTGGGTGGGAGGTATGGAACATACTCCAGGACGTGTTTTGCGTGGAGTCCTTTGGGGAGATACTGGCTGCTGCATCTGCCTTTTCTGAGATGTGCCTTGCACAAGGATAGAGAGATGTGTCATTCAGTCACATTTGCAAGTGGTTTGTTTTAAAATCTATTTTGGGTGCTGCTTTTTGTATTTGTGGTTAGCTGGAAATCACTTATATAAGCAGCAGCAGTAGCAACATATGCAAATTTGCTGATAATTGTCAGTAGTTTTTATAGCTGCAGCCATCCCCCAGATGTGATTCTTTGTGTGAAGCACAGCGTGTGCTTCCAGCCTGTCTGGAGGTGGCTGTGGAATCTGGGCAAGCAGGATGGAGTAGAGCTGATCTTATCTGCACAGCATGGCATGCTGGAACCATGAGATGTTCTGGAGGGAAGGAGTCGTGCACTGTCCCGATGCCTGGTGCACGTGCGGGCAGTGTCATGTGTTACTTCCAATGCCA